TTTTTTTTTTTTTTTTTTTGAATTATTTTCAAAATCTGAAGTGATGGTCTTGTGGATGGATAAGTGTTTTTAAGCATCATCTGTCGATTTTTCCCCTAGAGTTTAGGGAAGTAAACTGCTTTATTGAAATTGGAACATGTTGATGAGGGCGTTGGATTCGTTCAATTTTTATTGATTACATTTTTACCCGACTAGCTCCTTGTGCTTTACAATTGAAGAACGATGTCGTTGTTTATTAGATGAGATAGCTTTATGGTATTGATAAGTTCCTGTTTTGTTACAAAATGGTAATACTTTAAAAAGGGCTTCCCTTGGCTGCTCAAAACCTTCCGTATAATGTTTCTTATTTCCAGTGTTTAATCATAACACTTGTAGTCAGAACTTACAAGCTTCTGCAAAAAATGTGGCACCTTTTTAACTTTATAGCTGGACTGCTGGAGTAAGTTGAAAATTGAAACATACTACTTTTATCTAGTCCTCGGCTGGATGCTTTCGTCCATTTTCTGCAGTTCGTGTGTATCCCTAACTGTTGATCTTTTGTTTTGCTTCTTGATAATGTAACATAAGTAGAATATTTCATTTGTAAGAAATATTGATTTTTTCAGAAACTTTTCATCTATCGTAAATGTACTTTGTGATATATCCACCATAAGTTTGCATTTGCTGCACCCATATGCATTATAGATATAATGTTTCTTCTTTCTGCAAATCAAGTTTTTTTCTTCATTTTTATACTCAGAGAGATACAAAACTCGATCATTGGACTATGAATGCAAATGTATCTTCTTCGTTAACAGGTTATTGGGGTAAAAAGAAGGCAAGTTTCAATACGTTCTGGCTCAAAGTCGAGGGACAAGATTGTGATAGTAGAAGAGGTAGCATTACAGAGTGTATTTGACTCTTTGACTAAAGCTCTGCAAGGACAGTAATAAGATTAATTGGAGCTGTGAGTTTTGTAAGTGACTAAGTGTAAGCCATAGTGGAATGATCCTTTTTGTGATTCTATAAAACAATCTGTGAAATTATGCTCAAGTTCAATAGTCATCTTTTCTTAAGCGTAAACACTTTTATTCTTTATTTAGATATATTACATTTACTTATCTAACTTGTTCTAAGTGATTCTAATTCTTCCCTTGAGTTTGATTCTACTGATTAATTTTCAACTCATGTTCTTTTGATCGAACAAATTGTTGAAATATATGATGTACTTACGTTGAAGATTCTGAGAGATAAGTTGATCGGATCTGATTCAAAATTCAATGTGAATTGAGAAGATATAATATCGTGTATAACTAGAATCAAGGACTTTATTTTATTTTTTTTAGTTGTAAATCTTCTCCTGTATTATAAATACATCACTCTTTGTATAAGAACTATATACAACATATTTTAGTTTTTACATAAAATCTCTCTCTATGGTATCAGTGATCAAGGTTTCATTTCCGGGTTCCGGTGATTTAATTAGTGTCAGCATCCATTTGGCCAATCAAGCCTGGCAGATTTTCTCCAACGATCGGGATCATTGGAAGCAAATTGATGCTTCTTTATGTTTTTTTTCTCTACTACTCTATTGTGCTCAAACTTCAACATCATTACCATACATTTCGAACTTGTTATGAGATTTGGACAGAAGCCAAATAAGTCTACTCCAATTATGCCCGTCATCTATATAGTGTGTGATTTGGTGACTACTATGCTGTCTACCAAACTTGAAAATATGAATATGCAGTACTTGATCGTTTGGTTACTGATCATACAGTTTAAATCCCTTTCACAAATGAGTGCACAGACTTTATACAAGCACCAAAGTCAATTCTTCATGGTTCTTGCTCTTGATGGGCCCCCACCTGAACTTGACTTTATGCGCAAATCAAATTTTATCAGGCTTTATTATTTCTCATTATGATATGATTTTTGAACAACTACTGTGTCTCCACTCCAAATGCTTTCCGGCGAATCCTCCGCCCTTATCTCCTACTGGCTACTCCCATGCTTGTTTGCAACATATTTGATCATGGGGGAGATAAAAGTCGTACCAAAGCATGGGTTGAGGCAGCAAAGCCAGCTCAGCCCAAGGTGCATCATCTAACAAGTGATATTACGATTCCCCTCACCGAATATCATGATTTCCTTCGGTTTAAGGCAACACATCACATATTATTGCGGTTGTTCAGTCTCGTATGCATGTAACGTTTATCTTTCAATCCTCTACTCTCGGTCATTAGCCAATGCACGATTAACTAAACACATAAAGATAGATTGTCAATTGTGAGTTATAAAGTGCTTTTTGTAGAAATCACCATTAACCGTGTAATGTTTAGTAATGTCATGTTTGTTCTATGTACTTAATGTGCATGCATTACATATTTACAGTCAAAGAACCATTTTAAGTTTTCCCTTTCTTGTTTATTTTGGTTCTGTCCATACTAGCATAAGTTGGATGGTTTATAGCAGATAAAATTTAGTATGGTTCATGTTTCAACTTATGTGGATGAGCAAGTATGTTCTTGTTCTTGGTTTTAGTTCCCAGTTTTTGTTTGTTTTTTCCAGCTTCTTATACCTGATATTAGACATTGTTTACTGATACTTTATTTTGGTTTGATCCTCCCACATGAGAGTACAAGTTCTTTTAAATGTGTGTAACGTTGATCACATGTTTTATGTGAGTTCTTTTATCTTCGTGCCATTTTTTTTTTTTTT